TGTCTTCTTCAAGTATATACTATAGGCCTATATATATATATCTTCTTCAAAAGAATGTTTTGACTAAAAAGAAAAGGGTTACCCGGATGCGAGCTGATGGCTTGCAGTCTTCTAACCTACATTCGGTTGTGGACAAGATGCAGTTATAATTGAAAACAACAACAACAACAAAAACTATAATAATGTGCGTAGGGCTTACGAAGTTATCAGTCGTGACAAGATAACTTAATACAAATAACTTCACGGCCTTAGCTTTGTGTTATCATTTATGGCATTTCTTTTCAACTCCATCTCGAACTAATTGCTCCCGCCGTCCAAATAAATCCCTTAATGTTGTTCACTGACTAAGTTTTCTCACACCAAACCTCTTAACCCATTTTTTTCAGAAACACCCCCGTGTTCACACAATATTGACAGAAATAAACAGGTCGGCTTATTATAGATTTTTACAGTGGATGCTAAAGGTCAACTGTGTAGCAAAGGTCAGTTAACTAGAGACAACAAAGTAAGCTAGCACTGAATGATAAGGGCATCAGTGACGTACGTACGTAACACCCATGGCGCGAATGGCCTAAGACCATTATTGGCTTACGAACCATTAGGGGCCCACAGCCTGTAGCATACCAGCTATGGCGTAAAGGGTTTCAATGCTTTTGGGCTCATCATTCATGACAAGATGGGGCCCTTGGAAAATATTAATTGCAATTTTATAAAAGCCAATTAAAACAATAGAATCTAAAAAGCTCCTCAAATTATCCCTAACGTTATAAACAAATTTTATATTAACTTCGGATTGTTAACCACTACTAGAGTCTGTTGTGTATCAGTGGGCTACTAGAGTCTGTGTACCAGTAGGCCTACTTATATAGTGTCAGTGATCCAGTAGCCTACTAGAGTCTGTGTACCAGTACTGAGTGTGTGTACCACCGGCGTGTAAGCAAGGGACTGTGTCTATCAGGTCTATTGTAATGGAATCAATTTTAAAAAAACTATTAGTTAATTAATAATTGGTAATTAATTATTTTGTTTGGTATATTGAACAAGGGAAAGAAATCGTTCTAGACAGTTGTGGTGGTATAAGCTGAATTAGTCCCCATGCGTTCTTAGCAAGCTACTGTACGGCAGTGAGTCGTGGACTACCTACACAAAGCAAGAGAGAAAACTAAACTCATTCCACTTGCGCTGCCATCGAAGGATCTTAAAAATAGCATGGAAAGAAAGAGTGTGTAATACCTAGGCTTCTGGCTCAAGAAAAAACTGGTCGCCCCCACCTCCGTTACGTGGATTTGATAAAGCGGGATTTAAAATAAGTGAACATTGATAATGACGATTGGGAAGACATAGCCTTAGACCGCACTAGTTGGAGAGGACGGTGACCAAGAAAGGTATGGACAGCGAAAAAACATGGGCCTCAGCTCTTGAAGAAAAGCATGCCACACGGAAAATGGTCAGCTATCCTTTGGTCTGCTGGACAGCTTGGGCACCACACAATATCTGTCAACCTTCTTTCTCCTTTCTTCTCTGTCATTTGTCTTTGATAGAATTTCATTTTGATGTTCTTTCTGAAAATATTGATAGAGCCTACCTGCCTTTTTACCTGCCAGGATGGACCACTTCGGGGGCCGATTTTGAGTTTGTGTTTCCACAAAACTGTCTTTGTAACCTTGTTAATTTATAGTGAAAATGTCTAATAGGCATGTTAAGTTAGGGGGGGGAAAAAAAGTAAAAATAAATAAATAAAATATTTTTAAAAATACTCAAAGATAATTTTTAAAAAAACTTTCACCAATGCTTTACGAACGAATGTAAAAAACAATGACTTGTCCATGAACCATTTCCCCCGTTTCATTAAGTAATGGTTCCCTGTCCGATAAAGTTTTATGAACTCTAAAGCCGCCATTCTGTCTAGCACTCAACTAGGTGTTAACTAGAGTATCTAGCTGAATGGGTAGATTTAAAAAAAGGGGGATGTATAGGTAGAGGAAGGCCCTAAATAGTGTTTGACCATAACGGCATGATGGAATAGGTATGTTAATTAAACATCTGGACCGCTATTAAGAAGATAAGCAAATGTGGGTGGGGCAAACAAGACTACTGACGGACATGAGTGTAAAAGAAGGCCTACATGATGAAAGTAAAAATGTTGCCTATGGTTAAGTGAGGCCTATTTAAATAGTTCACCTAGCTTGTTGTAAGATTACATTTTTTAAAATATAATTTTTATACATACTGTCCTCATTAACAAAAAAAAATTTTTTTTAAATAAAAAAGAAACTCAGATTAGGCCCGATCTCCAGCAATAATTTTTTTTTGTAGGAAATAATAGCTACAAAAAGTTTTAATCTAAACAAATTAAACACGCGATTTGTCTATGAACAATTTATCAGTGAACGAATTGTCAGTGAACGATTTGTCGTGAACCAAACTGTCGGTGAACAAGTTGTCTGTGAGAAAGTTGTCGGTGAGCGATATGTCGAGTGAACGAATTGTCGGGTGAACGAATTGTCGAGTGAACGAAAAGTCGTGAACGATTTGTCGGTGAATGAAATGTTTGTCAACGAAAAGTCGTGAACGATTTGTCTGTGGACGAAATGTCAGTAAAAGAATTGTAATGTCCCCGAATTGGAGGAAATGATTTTGTGGATAAAATAAACAAAATAATGTTTTTTTTGTTGAAATGCACTAGAATCTGTAGTAAAGTTCAACAATTGTCAGTTTTCGTAAGAATTTGTTGTACATCTACCGGCACAATAATGAAAAGAAAACTTTATCAGAGAATATTTAATTATATAAATTTGACAGTTTCGTGTCCATTATGGACCTGGCACAATATACTTTGCCTACATACATTTTGGTTTTGCGCCGCACTTGGCGTCGGGGCTTCGCCCCAAACTCTACTGATGAATAATGAGCTGTAGATGTCAGGAGAATGCGTTTCTGCAGTGAAGAATGCAAGAAAACGCTTGTGGCGTCGGGGCTTCGCTCCGAACCCCATTGTGGAAGCTTACAGCGCTGCCCCAGACCCCCAAGCTTGCAAGAGAAAGGCCTCAACATGACAGGTTTTTTTTTGGGGGGGGGGGGTTTCGCCGAAGGTTGAGAAATACTGCTTTTTTATTCTCATATATATATATATATATATATATATATATATATATATATATATATGTTAGGGTTTACTGGGCGTTAGAGTTAGGAAAAAAATCGCTTCCGCCACTCCAATGTTCTGGATCTGCTAGTGCCCCCTCCTCCCCCACCCTAGCTACGCCACTGCGTAGACCTAGTAGGCCTACTGATCTTTTTACCTGATGAATATACTGACTTTCTTATCTTATCAAACGATAAAGCTGACGTTTTTATCTGATCTAACGATAATACTGACCTTTTTACCTGATCTAACGATAATACTGACCTTTTTACCTGATCTAACGATAATACTTGCCTTTTATTTGATCTAATAATACAGACTTTTTTTTTTTTAACTAACGATGACACTTTTGCTTCTCAGCTAATGTCTGATAACATTGACCTATTTTAAAGGTAGAAGTTTGTAGTGGGATCAGTTTCTCAACCCGCCTCCACTTCTCCAGATTCGCCTGTGATAGTTAGTAGGCTATTAGAAGTAGCACAACACATGAAATGTAGACCTATTCGTCTGTAGTAATTGAAATATGTCACCTCACTAATAGATTTACGACGCCACACTTAGTGTCACGATATAGAAGACTTGAGTAGACATACTAAACAACATGCCACTGGAGTGTGAGCTCTGAAGAGTGATCTTGATCATGGAAAATATAAATGTGCTTTACAATGCTCTTTTTTTTAAATCCAGTTAAAGATCTATACTCAGCTAGTTAGAGCGTAATTTCAAGGGATAAAATGTATATGCTAAAGGGGCCGCGGTGGCTGAGTGTTTAAGTGTTTGGCTTTCGAACGTTGGGTCCAAGGGTTCGAATCGATGAAGACTGGGATTTTGACTTTCGAAATTCCTAGGGCGCCCCTGAATGCACCCAACTCTAACGGGCACCTGACTTTAGTTGGGGAAAATAAATGCGGTTGGTCGTTGTGCTGGCCACATGACACACTGCTTGTTAACTGTTGGCCAAAGACACAGATAACCTTAACATCATCTGCCCTATAGATAGTAAGTCTGAAAGGGGAACTTTACTATATCATATACAGGCTAAACTGGAGACTAACAAAAAATGGGTAGTTATTATGGTATTCTTCAACAAAATAGGGCATTTTGTAATCGTTAAAAGTGCATTCAATAAGAATATTCAAGAGAAGCAATTTCATATTTTCATTATCAATAGAGTTTCTAAATTAAATTGACACTTCTTGGCCTCAGATTCCAGAAGAGAAACAATAAACTTTTGTATACTGCAACTATCAGCAGTTTAATAACTTTGTCATCACCTGCTGGTATGGTAATACTTCACTTGCACAAAGACTTAGACTAAATAGACTAATTAAAAAAGCATTTTATATATCACTCGAACACAGCTACCATTTCTTGAAGGGCTTTTCCATGAAAGATGCCTTATTACAAAACACGATTCTTAAAGATAACCTTCACCCATTAAACCACTGTTACATAAGATCTGAACGAAGTGGTCGTCTCCTTTCCATAAGAACTAAACAGAAAGACTTAAAAACTCCTTCATACCACTGTCGGTCAGTGTTACAAGATCATCTTTCATCATCTTGAAGTTCATAGAAGTCCAATTCATAAAGCACTGGTTGTGAATGTGTTTGTGTTTCGTGTGTGAATTTTGTTCGTAATTGCATCTAGGGCCTATAATGTTATTGTTATCTAAGTGATTATTGTTAGTCGAACTTACCAATTGAAGCTATCATCTGTCTACAAGTCATTATCTGTCTTTTGGTCTGGTTGACATACCAAAAAAAAGTATAAATATTAAAAAGCAAAACTATGAGAAAATGTGTCTATTTGTTTATTACATTTTCAATTATGTTTTAAAATATACTTTTTTAGATACAGTATACAAATACATTTTGATTTCATATATATATATAAAACACACACATATAAAAAAAAATCTCGACATTACAATATTGAGATTTCTATCAACTTATCATTTTCATTTTTAAATTTTTAGATTAAAAAAAAACAACATTAAAATATTCACAAAGTTATAGAGTTTTAAAAGATCAACAGTCTTTCAATATACAAAATGTTATTTCCCTTGTTAAATGTCCACATATCATGCCACATGTGGTTTTCCTCATTTTCTCGTATATTACATACATATATGTATAATGTTAATACAAATAAGTAGCACTAAGCTAATTATGTATCGTATGTTATTTAATTGTCAACATTTATTTTGTGCATATACCCTTTTTTTGTTTGTTAATAAATTTTAAATACCTCTTCTTAATTTACACAAACTTGATGGTAAACATCAGTCTGAAATACAATTTATAAAATTTTTTGTAAAGGTTTTTTTAAAGATTTTTTTTCATATATATATATATATATATATATATATATATATATATATATATATATGTTTTTAAAAAAAACTTAAAAATGCTTGTGCTATTAAATTTCTAAGACTGATTATTGTGACTTTAAAATGTTAACAGTCAATGAGTCTGCATGGTCAATGTAGTGTCCTGACCATCAAATTTCTGACATTACAATATACTTATTCTCACAAATGCTAAAACATTAATGTTTTATAAACAAAAACATAATAGGATGTATTTTTCATAGCTAATACAAAACTGATTGAGGAACAATCTACTTTAGCTTAATGTTGATAAGAGTAATATCTGATGCCTCTTGCCTAAATTGCATTTCTGATAGCTGAATATATTGAAATTTAATTAAAATTTTTTTGGTCATTTTACAGATTTTTAAAGTAAAGTTACATAGTTACAGGCTATTACTATTTTTTACAATATCCTATCACTGATGTTTATTTTTGTAGAACTCTCCACATACTTTGTTCATTCTTAGAAACAAAAAGTTATCAAACAATTATGTTTTCTGTATTTTATCTTTTAAAGTTTTAGTAGAATTCACTAAAATTCAATAAAAAATAACTTAGAATAAAAATTATGTAAAAAGAAGAATTATAAGTTGTGTTAATATTTACTTTATTTGAAAATCTATGACAAAGAATAGGATTTTTTTTATTTCAATACTTAGTAATTTTTAAATATTATCTCTTATATGAAGGAATTTCTCACTGATGTAATGGAACTTGTTTTGTTTTGTTTTTTAACTAAAAGAATGGCTAAACTGAAAAAAAAAAAAGAATGAAACTTTAACAATGTTGTTATTTCAAAGTATAATTTGACATCTATTGTGAAGTAAGATTATTTATTATCTTAGTTAAGCACAGATCCATAGGGTCAGAAGAATCAGCCAGGTTGAAAGAAAGATTGTTGGACCACCATTTGGACACTTTGTTGTATCAGCACCTAGAATTATAAATAAAATTTTAAAATGCGCCTAAGCATTTTTTTTTATAAGAGAGATTTTAAAAAAATGTTACTTTCTTAAATTTGAATGTTACGTAGTAAAAGATTTGTATCATATTTATTTGTTAAACTTGCTTTCAATATTATTTTTCATTACTAATACAGTTGTATTGAGACTTGAAAGTATTGTCACAACATGAGACTGTCCCAACTAGCTCTAGGTATTAATAGAACTACAATGTCTGGATTAAATTTTAAAGATTTAAAAATTTTAAATGAAATATTTGTATAAATACATGTAAGGTTAAAATTTTCAGCCAGCTTCTCTGATTTTACTTCTATTGCAACATGCATCCACACCTCTCTAGATTCATACCAAGCTACACGTAGACCCCAACAAGTATCAATACAATTTTTCTTGTTTCTGACTCACAACCACAATGTTGTTCAGCTAAAAAGTTGTGTTCCAAGAAAATGCAATGTCTGTCAGCTGGGAGCCAAAAGAGACTACCCATAGTTACTGTAATGGTAAAGAGCTAGAGAGACTGAGGAAATCATCAATGAACAGGGCTGAGGTTTGCACTAGATAGTTTGAGAATGCTGATTTTTCAATGCAAGTAAAGTTCCCCTTTCAGACCTTGTCATCTTAGGGCAGTTGATGTAAAGGTCAACTTTTTCTGTGGCCCACAGTTAATGAGAGTGTCATGTTGCCAGCACAATGACCTATCGACTTTACTTTTCCCAAACTAATGTCAGGTACCCATTAGAGCTGGGTGGACTCAACGGTGCCCTAAAAATCCAGAAATTAGAAATCCCAGTCTTTACCTGGATTTGAACCATGGACCCTCACCCAGTTTGGAAGCCAAGTGCTTTACCACTTGGCCAGTGTGCCTTCTTTTCAATGCAAAACACATGCTAAACACACTCTTTTTATTGATACAATACAATGTTTAAATAATAAATTTTTATTGAAAAAAAAATGATATACTTTTCTGTGAAACAGGTAGCTGTGAAACAGGTAGCTGACATTCTTGATTCCAATCAACAGGTACTGTGTCTTTGGTCAATGAAATAAAATCAACTAGTTTACAAGGTAAATTGCAGCCTGAAAAAAAAAGTATTTTTTAAGTATTGATGCAAGAAGAGAATAGTTTACATTATGTATGATATTTAAAACACTATCATGTCAATAAGGACCTTCAGTAAACTGCCTAACGAAAGACTAGGATACAAAAATGAGGTGATATTTTTACTTATGCAATGCTTTCACATATATATTCTTTCTTTTTAGTTGCCAATCATGCTTGATATAGGTTGCCAAATAAAGGCACAATTTAAGAGTCATGTGCTTGACACAAGGCAAAGATAATTTACGAGCCACGGCGTAGCATACGTCACCATTTAGTGACAAGAGAACACTTCCTGAAAGACACAGTTGTCCAAATGGGGTGGGTTTGGGCAAACGACTGTGTGCACAAGCCTGGAGAGCAAGGAAGGTGCGAGGGCAGGAGGGTTAGAGAGTCTGCCTATGTGCATGGTGTTCTGCATGGTTGGGCAATGTAAAGAAATATATATACAGAGAAGATTTTTTGTTCTGCCCCCCTCTTTTTTTTTCTGAGTCGCGCTCTCTGTGCCTGCGAAAGTTACATGGGGTAACTCTAGTCCAACTTGCAGAAATAAAAGACTTATCTTTCCATGACTTTTTCATCAAGGGTTAGAGAGTCAGCATGCATGCGTCATGTCCTGTATGATTAGGTGACATAGAGAATTATATATACAGATGAGATTAGAGTCTATAGAAAGCTATGAGGCATAATCTGTGAAGAATACACTTTAAAAGTTAAAGTTTAGAATAAAATGAAGCTCTAGATCTGTTAATAATTATTGTTAACAAATGTAAACACAAGTAATATGGTCTCATCACAATATTGTCATGGCCTGAGAAAACCTTCCTAAGGAGTACAGTACCAGGGAAAAGAAAGCAAAAAATATATTTAAAAATAATGGGAGCAGAACATTGAGGAAAGAAGATTTTTAAACCTTGATGACCCTATGCAATATAGACAATAGGTCAACATAATATTTGTGGAACCTCAACAGCCCAATGCATATTGAATTAGTTAATAAAAAAGGCATTAAGTAATTAAGTAAACATGTTAATTACATCAATGTCTTAATACAAAATAAGAAATTAATGGATGAGAATGTAAACAAATACACTCACTAGAGTTTGTTATTGTTTTTTTATCAAAATTAAAAATCAATATTCACCTGGAACAAAAAGTTCATATGGATCTGAATTTGATTCATTTTTATAAAATATCTTGACAACATAATCGTTCTGTATATTATGTAGTTCTACCATGACTAAGGCTCTGTAAATTGGAGCATGTCGATCAAATACATGCATGGCAGACAGAAGAGTTGCGACTGTGGTGTCATGCTGTCAAAATGAATAAATAAATTATTTTAAAAATTTATTGTAACAATATGTGTACCATTTATAAAACATATTTATGGCTTGTACTTTTGTAATCTTTTAACTAAAAAAAAACAACGATGTCTCATACAGCTGAGTACATGTAAAACTTAGGGCTTGATTTGTCTTGAGTTGCTGTTTGCATATTGGTGATTATTTCTTTCAAGAGTGGACCTGCAAAAATATACAATTAATCAATAAAGATGTATGCTTGTGTGTGTATCTGTCTTCAAAAAAGTTTTAGTATATGCTGATAAATTACCTCCCCTTACTTGTTGAGTCCAAGAATTTACAGGTTTTTTTTTGTGTTGCTTCTTGTTTATTATGATGAGAAGAAAAAGTGTTTAGATAAATGGAAATATATAAACATGGTGACCTACACCATTTTAATATCTTCAACTAATTGCAATGTTAAACCTATTTCGAGTCATGATGGCTGGGATACACATTAGGAAATATTAAAGCCCTGGGCTTAATCTTGTAAATATTAGGATTTGTACTCATCATATTCATCATTGAAGACTATTGCTCCAATCTGATTCACAACCATCTGTTGGCACAAGTGTTTAGTTATAGTGATGATCTCATAAAATATATATGTTGAAATTAAGAAAAATATCTGAGATAGTCCAATATTTATATATATAATTCTCTTCTTCCCTCAAAAGTTTAAACAAGAAGTAAAGGAAAGATCACTCTCTTATTTCTGCGGATAGTCCACGAGAAAACACAAGAGTAGTGTTCACACTACGGATGGCTGCCTGAGCGCTGGACTGTCGTTTAAATTAATCAAACCCTTCCCGCTCCAATCCCCCTTTGTTCTGTGAAAAGTTTGGACTAGAAAGTAAACCATCTTTAACTCTGATGGAACATTCGAAACATTGTAAAACATTTTACAAACAAACATTTTACAAACACAAAACAGCAGCGCCGGACTTAACCATTGTGACTTAGAAGTCATGGAAAGAGATTAAGTAATCTACTATGTATATATATATATGTAAATAGCAGGGCCGTACTTAACCATTGTTGGGCCCTATGCGAAACAGATTTCTTCGGGGGGCAAGGTTTAGGTAGGGAAGCGGACAATAAGTTAAATTTAAGAGTTTGTATTTTGAAAGTAAATTCGTCTATGCATTTTATCCATTCTTAACTACGTACAGAATTACTTTACAAACCTTGTGTGTAGCAAAGTCATAGAGTATATCATAATAATTCTGTTTCCTACATAGATCATGCTCAATAGAAAGAATTACCAAATGTTTCTATCTATCTTTGAGAATTTTTGACCTCAAGTAATTATTCATTAGTTTGAGGCGCAAAAAGCTTCTTTCACCAGGTGACACAATTACGGCTGATGCATAATGCCGCGCGTAAGATTGGCATTTTCCATATTGAATGACACCCCAAAATGACAATTTTTGTGTAATATATTTCCATATATTTTAAGGACTTTTTTGTATATTTTGCGATTTCGGGAGTTTTACATGAGCTCCTGGTAAATCGACAGGAGGGTGCGGGAAATCTGTTTTAAGTTTTAAAATGGTTTAATTTAA